GCCTAACGTAAAACAATCCGTTAAATTTCATAAGAAAAGTGGTAAAGGAAACTTCCTGGAAATTACATTCAACTTCCGAAAATGTCCGCTAGGGAGCATATTTTCAATTTCAATACTCATACGCCATTATTTGCAAAAAATGCATAATTAACGTACTGATCTAATAACTCTATTATGTTGACTGTTCAACTTTCGAACATTTTTCTCAGTGACATCTTTCTACATTTTGTTTACGATTCTGGAGGGGAAAAGGTTGAATGTCATTTTAGAAAAAGTAATATAATTTCGTTTGGCTACCCCGATTTTCACGATTTTGGTTTCATTCGAAAGAGCTTACACCTGGGCTTTTCCACAACCTAAATATTGTCAAGTTACTTTACTTTGTCGGCACTAGATAGCGTTTTATGGATGTGTCCCTTCTTTTGTATTCTGAATATTTTCGAAAATTTCGAATACATCGGTATACTTTTTCAATATGCCTCGGGAAAAGTATAAAAAATCCTATGGAATGTAAAAAACTACATATATTAATATCTTTATTCGTAATGGAAATAGTATAATGAAAAGTAGGCTTAAATTATTATTATATGATACGATTCCAAGATATTTAACTTGGAGATTTATTTTTACGCTTTTTATAACCGATTGGGGGTCGAAGTGCCGGCTGATATATGAAAAATACATACTTCAGTTATACCTCAAAATATAACTTAGTTCGGCTTTAGGATATGAAGGAAATACGTAGTATTATAGCGGCTATTTTGTTCAGAAAAGCGTGATAATAAAATCTAGCGTGCCGTGTAATGACATTTTGAAACAGTAACCAGCGAATCGCCTAAAATAAATTATTAATTCGCAAGTTAGCTTTCCAATTTCTCAACTACTTTTCCTCAAATGGTTTTCCAACAATTTGGAGTACAAGTTATTGATGTCTGGTCAGGTACTCGAACTGATTGCCATTGTGTCGGAAATTTTCGAATTGTTTTTAGTTAATAAAATCAAACGATCGATAACATGTAAGTACATAAATCATGTACGAGTCACAGCAGTACCTTAAGCCCTACGAATCAAATAAGGCATACACGGTAACTCACAAAAAAGTTATCGGGAAACTTTTATGGAGAATTGCATGTTCTATAACTTAGCTATTGACATGTAACCTCTAACAGAAAATTTTGAGGTCAAAGATCAATGGGTCTTTAGATGCATCACTTACTTCCAACTTCTTTTTTGAGTTGTTAGGCATTTCGAATTAAGTTGCTTTATATACAAACTTCCTCATGTAAAGATCACCGACACCTTTTTATTGACGTACCTTGTATCAGTGCTGGGTATTAATATATGCCCATACTGAATGGTCAACGGCACATATACTAAGTGAGATATAAATCCGGACACCCAGTTTAAATGGTTTTATTTTAATAAAATTTTTTATAAGTACTTAATGAAGCATAATAAGTAAATGATAAAAATTTCAAGATGATTGCACTGCAAAGCCCTTTGACCTTAAATAATGTGTGGATGCACCCTGATGTGCTACGCATTCTCCAACGCCCCTAGGCATGCTTCTGATCAGGTGGTCAATGTCCTCCTGTGGTATCTCATTCCAGGCAACCACCAACTCCTCTCGAAGTGCTTCTAGAGTCTGAGGAGGACGTTGCAAATTGAGCAATCTCCTACCCATCATATCCCACACGTGCTCAATTGGGGATAAGTCGGGAGATCTTGGTGGCCATGGTAACAATGTGACATCATTATGTTGAAAGAAGTCTATTGTGACTCTTGCAACATGTGGTCGGGCATTATCTTGTTGGAAAGTTGGATCTGCCAGGGTGTCAAGATAGGGTAAAAGATGGGGTTCGAGAACTTCGTGGATATAACGCTGCGCGTTCATGTTACCTCTGATGAAGATTAAAGGTAACCTGGAACCATAAGCTATAGCACCCCAAACCATAACTCCAACAGTGTGATGAACATGTCTTTCAACAAAAAACTATGGATTCCTCCTTTCACCACGTCGCCTTCTAATCCTGGCACGACCATCGTGTATGTCTAAACAAAATCGAGACTCATCGCTAAAGGCAATACTGTTCCATTCCTGATCCCAGAGTGACCGTTGTCTGCACCACTCAAAGCGATTACGTCGGTGTTCTCGAGTTAAAGGGAGGACCCAGTGTAGCCGGTATGAAAACAAGCCAAAACTTCTCATTCGTCGGTAAATACTTCGCATGCCAATAGGTCTTCCGTGTTCTGCAAACCATTCAGTGAATTAAAAAAAAGCAGTATAAAAACCGGAATGTCCAACTGATAAGGCGGAAAATTTTTTCAATTGTTATTTACAGTAAGATACGTAAATACATTCACCAACTTTTATTAAAATAAAACCATTTAAACTGGGTGTTCGGATTTATATGTCACTTAGTATATACATGCCGTAGAAGGGTAGCTTGGATCCTATCTCATAAACGGCAACTCAAGCCATAGAAGTACTGGAATAACTTTTACAGATAATTGTAATGTCTACAACTCCTGTATGAGGTACTTCTGTGGCATATGTTTCCCTATTTGAGAAATATGACAAAACGTGATATAATCGGAATTTAATTCCAAGTGAAACAAGGTTTCACACTAGCGAACGACGGGAACTTTTGATTCACAATGGTGTATTTAAGATATATACCAATTTCACGCTTTTTGGCAATTTTTACAAACTTGCAATATTTTCTGCGGTATGTTGTCATTGTTATCCAGCGAAATCGGACAGCAATCTTGCTGTGTAAGTCCGCAAGCCCATCAAACTGCGCCTCGTGCTGTGAACAAATTTGAACCGAGAAATTTCAAATCCAAGCAATTAAAAATCTTTCCTCAACAATGTCAAAGCTGACGCACTTCTTACTTTTTGATTTTCCCCTTTTTACCCCCATGTTTTATTTCCTTTTTTCTCCCTAATTTATGTACTGACCTACAAAACTGACCATTGACGAACCTCATTACAAATATTATATTCACAAAACTTTCGAATAGAAGTTGAAACTCTCAGTTATTTACGACGTTGTTTTCACAAGATGGCGACCAGTCCCAAACAGATTTCAATTCCATAGTCCGCACCTGTAAATGATGTTCTACCTAATGCAACTCCATGAAAATCAACTGTTTCCGTCTTCCACGCGGTAAAGCGAAAATTACCGACAAAATCGTACGCTCGGCTGGAAGTTTTAAATGCATTTACATATTTTCCTTGAAGGCGCTAATATAGATTCGCTGTTACAGGCTTTCTCAAAGTCTGAGCATGTATATACTGCTATATCTTTTCCATTTCAGGGCCCTGCACGCGTAATGAATGTAACTCTAAGCGGTAATTTGGAAGTTCGCGGACTTTTGACATTACCAAAAATCGGGGTAGGTAAAATCGTGTAATTACTTTTAAGTGATGGACTGCACCATAGCGCAGTAGAACAGAATTATGCGTAACCATGATACGGCGTAGTTAAGTTATCCAGTCCATTCAAGACATAACTTGTTTGTCACCAGGTACTTGCCATACAAATTAATATCGTTTCCAGTGGCATTCACTGGTACAATTTTGCATTTCATTGATTCTGGCAATGCCGTTATCAGCATAGGTAATATCCAGAAATGTACAATCGTGCGGAAATAAAACCACTGTCTTTTCTTTGGCAACATATTCGACAGATACACCTATCTCATTTATGGTATAATAATTTTTGATTCCAAGGTGTAAAACTAGAATGTAGAAATTAGAGAAGTGATTAAAACTGGGAACCGTTGTGACATGACTTGATACCTGGACATTGGTCCACAGGTAATACTGGATAACTGAGAAAAATGAATTAAAGTGGCCAAGAAAGCGAAGAAGAAGTGCATGGATAGTGTAAAAGAGCATACCTGTGGAAGACGCTATAAGAAGCCAAAACCCTTAAGGTGAATCCGTGTTTATACCTACTATAATTAGCAGCACTAAATACATAAAGTAGTAAATATCAAATATTACAAGACTCAGTTTGGTGCATTCGTTTGGGAGCTAGGTCACCTTTGACCATTTTCGCCGACCCCGTAGTACCAATACTGTACTACTGCAGATACCATGAATTGGTAACGGAATTATTGAGTCAGCCAGCTCCAGCGACGTGGTATACCTATTCTGACCTTGAACCGTTGTAATGCGTAATACAGACAACGCAACATCTATGGCTCAAAATTAACTTCTCAGGTGGAGATTCGAACCCACGAGCCTTCGAGTCGACTAATTAGCAGCTTGACGCGCTAACCGCAGTGCTGCCCAGCTCTCAACGTTGGGGGCTAAAATCTTACAGAAGATGGATAAGAATAAATAGTCTTTAGGTGCGCCCCATAACTTTTAAGTACCCTTACCCATTCTTAACAACCAGAACTAAGAACCAGCTCGACTGATGCGCCTGTATAAAAAAAAGCAAAGATACAGATGTTAAATATTGAACATCCGTCGTTTTCTTATTTTTTACTTTATTCGTATATTTCTCAACAGATACAAGATCCATTTACAGAGAAACACTATACCAGTGTTGAAAAACAAATAGATGTCTTGCGTGGTAACTTGAAAATATCGAGATACCTTAAAATGTGAAAACAAATAACGAATTATGATGTATCAGTGACGGTCACTATACACCATATAGTGGAGGGACACAATCGTACTTCTGTGTAATTGGTTTTCTTTTGGATGGTCCTAATGTTGCTTCCATAAAAAAATGATTTGATGATGGAAAGTAAGAGGAAGATCTGATTATATCACTTTATACAGCAGTAGAAGTATTAATGATGTACTCGTATAGAGTATCAAGAAATTCTGTCTCAAAGGTGGAAAGAAATAACCTAGTTTGGGCAAAATTCTGATTTTCTCCGGAAAAGTGGTTGTCTCAGTTACCTTATGCTCAACTCGGATAGTGTAGCCTACCTAGTATCTTGTACCTGAATGGTGAGGGTCAAACTGTAAACATCCATTATAGACTTTAAGGTATTATTTCTTCTTACATCCCATCCACATCTAATAATCACAGCACATTAATAAAACTTAAGACCTAATAGTAGTGCTTTTTGTCTGAGACTCCATCCTAGACAGTCGCTTAAGGCTGAGAGTCTTCTCAAAGACGCTCTCTCTCTCTCTGGGATGGGGTTTGAAGCATATTTGCAGCAAAAAGTTGTCTCGAAAATTCTTTGACATGAACCCGTAGACCACTGGATTGACGCAGCTGGAAAAAAATATGTTTTTAGTTTTAATATATGTAAAGAAATCTAAATTTTCTGACATTGAAGGGAACTTGGAGCTATTGTACAATTTATGGTTTCTCATCTATTTCCGGATGAAAAAGTATAGTTTATAAATTGGTTTTCCAAGCGTCTCACTTTTCAGTTCAGATCGGTAAAATAACTTCTCTACTCGCTATGTACAAACTGAACTAAATATGTTGAACACAATTTTTCGCTACTGGGCGACATAGTGCTGTCAATTCAGGTTTACTTTTTTATCCTAAGTAAAAGCTACTCTATCAAAATATGGCATAAACGGTTCATTTTATTGCTGGCTAAAATCATTTTCAAAGAACAGATCTCAGTATGTGTGTATCCAACAACAATCTCGACAAGGCCATCAAATCTGAAAATATTGTTATCACCGTAAAGATCTATCACAGATTCGATAGTAATCAGTTATGACGCCGTACTGTCAGTGTCAAAAACGGCCGCCATATCGACGGAGATAATCGCACGTAAATTCTTCTAGTATAACGACAATCACCATCACTGTCTTTGTATGTTTCCAATAATGAAGATGACATTTTAAATGATTCATTTTATAGAACCAGACAGGTTAGTGATCTATCGATATATTGGGACCTAAAATATTTGATAAGCTACCATTTAACTAACAACTGATATTGTTCAATATGTTAAATCTACTTGTATCTAAATATTACTGTCATCTCAGACTTTTTTTGTAATTGTTATATTGTTTGCCTTATGTATTTTATTTGTTTTAGTCTCAGACTAAAAATATAAATAGACTCACCATTCTTACGGCAACGTAATGCATGAAGACAAACAAACCCAATTCAAAACAAATACAAACAATAAGCTGTGTATGTGCAGACCACAGCTGATTCCACCAGTGGCGTAGGTGCTTTTTTTGTAATGGTGTTCTGGTTAATACACCCAGTATCACCTTCCATGGCAGTGAAAAGAATAAACAGAGAAGTAAACAAGGTTTTATTATTGGAACTTAATTATCAGGTTTATGGTTTCATAATACCTCGTACAAAGGTATATAACCAAGAGAGAGAGTATTATGTAAATAATAAGAATTGTGTAGAAAAAAAATAGTAAGAAAATGAAAGTAACCATGATCAAAAGTTGTATATAAAAAATATATAAACAGACAGAAAAAGAATAAATAATTGACGCATCAATTTAAATATTCTGTCTTGATATTGAAGGCACAAAAAAACTATTCATTCCTTAAGAAAGATCTTAGGTTAAATAGTTCCCTAAAGTATTTAAAAAGTTTGTATCATAAATTCAGCTCATTCGTTTTATTTAGGCAAGCAAAGACACAGATTTGGTTCAAACGATCTGACAGAATATGCTTCCTCAATGGATTGTATAATGGACATTCCAGGAGGAGATGTGCTAAAGATTCGGTCTTTCGATTATTACATATTGTACAATAGTCTGTTTGGTCAACCCTGTATGAAATATTATTTAGGAAGATTTTGAGACTACATTTATTGTGGAGCTTAAGTTGGATTATAAATCGTTTTATACATAACGGTATACTTGGGGATTTAGCGTACTCTGTAGACTCTGATAGCCATTTTAGCCATTTAGCGCGTCAAAAAGTTCGTGTATTGATATATGCTGATCCAGAAATGGAGGTAAAACATGTAAAAAGCTAAAGTCAACATTGGGGGTAGGTTTATACATTATTTTATAGTAGTCAATCCATGTTTGGAGGTTTATTTTATTTGGTTTAGTGCATATTTCAATTAAACAATTCCTTTGGACTTGTCACTCTCCCTAAGTCATTATTTATAATTCATTTTATAATTTTGCTTTTTATTTTTTTGTAATTATCAGGTTTTATTGATTTTGAAATAATATACTTTTTGTGAGTAATGATCGTACACGTTTTGAAGGGGCATTCAAGTTAGAGGTATAGTGGTACAACTTAATGGTAAAATATTTTTCTAAAACTTGTTTACAGGGCAATGGAAAATGATTACTTAAAGGTTCATCTTCGAATACATGGTCCTTAAACACATTTCCGAATCGAAGAGGTAAATTTTGCAATGTATAATTTATTGATATTTGTGAAACTCTTGTCATATTTTTTTTGCCAACTTCTAACCTTTCCTTATATAACCTAAAGCAATGTTCTTCATATTTAAACACATTTACGAGTATTACAAAAGCGGAGGCTTTAACTAATTTTACATACGTTTTTCTTATTTGTAATTTCGATATAGACTCTCATGAAGTTTCTAACAAATCTAAACAACTCTGGCATTTTATAGACTTTTTTAGCCTCTTCACAACAAAACCTGCAACATATGTAACAACATCTTCCAGATACAGTGTAAGCTGCCAAGGACTTATTCGAAGAAAGTTTTTAAATTGTATAAAATCGCCATCTTCCTCTATACTGTTTGATGATGAGGTCATATCCTCACTAATTTTGATCTCTAAAGATGATGATGAACAGTGCAAAATGGATGTGCTATCTAATGCCACGACATTGGATGCTTCATTGCCACTTATTTCAGTATGAAGTAATAATTTTTTTAAAATATTCTGAAACTGCTTCGAGGTAGGATTATTGCTGTATCCTCCTTTGATTCTTATACAACTGAAGAAAATTTCCAAATGATCTTGAGATAACTTATATGTGAGAAGGTACTTTTAGCTCTTTGGTTTCTTTGACTCTTTATTCATACAGGCCCTTTAAACTGTTTATTGAAATTATGAATCCCAAAAATCCTAATTTTCTTCTAGAAAGTATAACTCTAGTGTCTCCTAATTTTAACGATTTCAAATAATCCTTCCCTTCTTCTAAGAAATTGAAATATTGTTCAGTAGCAGGTGACAACGGTTTCTCATAAGGTTTTTTTGACATCCTATTCTTTGAATTAAAAACATCAAATAAATTGTTTACTGTTCTACAAAAATATGCTGTAGCTTCTGAATCCTTGAAGTCAGCCATAGCCAGATCTTTGTTCAAAAAGTCCAATGCTTCTGCAACGCTCTTGCTCAAAGTCTGGACGGCAACTTTCATCTTTTCATTCACCCATTGGACATTCTTCTTGTTTCTTCTTATCACTAGGAAACCTGAAAGATCAAAAACGTGTCTAACAGAAGAGTATTTTTTGAAAATCACCACACATACAGTGTAAAAACAACCAATAACTATAAAATGTCTATTTCTTAATACTAAAAATCACAACGCATCCCGATGCGCTACGCCCTTGTCCTCCTCTAACCTCTAACTCACCTGTGGAAGGTTGCCTCAGTTTTTTCACCGCTAACTCCACAAAGAATGCACTTCCGACGTCCCATTGTCTTTGAAAATTGTCTATCAAAGATAACAATGCTATAATTGCCGCTAAAACAAACTGAAAACACTTTTGAATACTCGCAACAAATTCACTGTGCACAACAACAAACACCAGATGTTTGTAAATTCTGTGTACGCATCCACCACTTGCCGTCGAACACCGTTGCCACGTTCGGCAAAAAGTCGGTAGAAATGTGCTACTTTCGAATGAGAGCAAGTTTCGTCCAAGGTGGAACAAATCCAGTCAAACAACTGACTGGGCAAAATATTATATGTAATGTTCGCTGTGAATTGCCCAACATGAACCTGCATTCGTTTTGAATTGAATTTACGGCGTGTCGGCCACCTCTGTGACCGTTTTTGCGAGTATAAACAAATATGAAAAGGAAAAATAAATTTTTAAAATTTAAAATGACGTTGACAACTGCCTAGGAGCAGTTTGATCGACCCACGATCGACCGGAGCGTCCACACCTTATTTCGGGCGGAGTGCACACCAATATCTCATTCCATTTTCAATAGATTTTTCAGTATGGAGAAGTGGCAGCGTCGCATATATTTGTTTACCGTAAATACAGTTATGTTGACGACGATATTTTATAGGGAATTATTTGTCTATTTATATTTTTAGTCTGAGGTTTTAGTCATTACTTCTCATACCTACTGGCGATTATGTATTGTATTCTGGAAATGAGACATGTTTTTTCGATGTTATATGACACGTATATCACGAAAAACCATGTCATTCACTTCGCTCTGTTTATCTGTTTGTCTGTATTGTACCGTTAATATTTGGACTGGAAAGGACCGCTCGGATTTTGCTAAAATTTCCTCACAAAGACTACTACTATGCCAAGGACGAAAATCCTTGGTAGGTTGAGAAAATCTGTCCAGTGGTGGCGAAGCCAGCGGCAAAAACTCGAAAGAAATAAAAATCGCTCAAACTTGTTCTTTACACGTTTCAAAGGCTCTCCGTAATTTTTTAATTTTTGTTAAGGGGTGGGAGGGTGCCAGGGGGTTGAGGAGGGTATATACCAATTGTTTGGCATTCATGTATGTATACACGTATAACTTCGGCAATTATGCAACAGCGTTAGACATATTTTACAAATAAATGTTACTCTACATTTGCGCTTAAGATTTATGGGTCGAGTGATAGAACTAAGTGACATATAAATCCGAACACCCAGTTTAAATGGTTTTATTTTAATAAAAGTTGGTGAATGTATTTATCTTACTGTAAATAACAAGTGAAAAAATTTGCAGCCTTATCAGTTGGACCACCGGTTTTTTGATACTGCTTTGTTTTAATTCACTAACGCTCTAAAAATGAATATTTCAGCCGCAGTAAAGAATCAACGTTGGCGGATTTTGGTTCTTGACATCCTTTACGATCGGTTACGATGCCTAGAGTACGGAGACCTGTACGATTTCATCAACTTAGTGAGTTTGATAGGGGCCGTATAGTGGGACTTCGGGAAGCTGGACTTTCTTTTCGGGCAATTGCAGTTAGAGTGCAAAGAAGTGTAGATACTGTGGTTAGGTGTTGTCAGGCATGGCTTCGACAAGGCCGTATGCAAAGAGCAAGGGGCACTGGACGCCGCCGTAGAACAACAGACCGTGAAGATCGCCGCCTAGGATTATTGGCCTTAAGGGACCGTTTCTCCACTACCAGGTCCATTGCAAATGAATGGTTTGCAGAACACGGAAGACCTATTGGCATGCGAAGTGTTTACCGACGAATGAGAAGTTTCGGCTTGTTTTCATACCGGCCACACTGGGTCCTCCCTTTAACTCGAAAACACCGACGTAATCGCCTTGAGTGGTGCAGACAACGGTCACTGTGGGATCAGGAATGGAACAGTATTGTCTTTAGTGACGAGTCTCGATTTTGTTTAGGCATGCACGATGGTCGTGCCAGGGTTAGAAGGCGACGTGGTGAAAGGAGGAATCCACAGTTTTTTGTTGAAAGACATGCTCATCACACTGTTGGAGTTATGGTTTGGGGTGCTATAGCTTATGGTTCCAGGTCATCTTTAATCTTCATCAGAGGTAACATGAACGCGCAGCGTTATATCAACGAAGTTCTAGAACCCCATCTTTTACCCTATCTTGACACCCTGGCAGATCCAACTTTCCAACAAGATAATGCCACATTGCAAGAGTCACAATAGACTTCTTTCAACATAATGATGTCACATTGTTACCATGGCCACCAAGATCTCCCGACTTATCCCCAATTGAGCACGTGTGGGATATGATGGGTAGGAGATTGCTCAATTTGCAACGTCCTCCTCAGACTCTAGAAGCACTTCGAGAGGAGTTGGTGGTTGCCTGGAATGAGATACCACAGGAGGACATTGACTACCTGATCAGAAGCATGCCTAGGGGCGTTGGAGAATGCGTAGCACATCAGGGTGCATCCACACATTATTTAAGGTCAAAGGGCTTTAAGCAGTGCAATCATTTTGAAATTTTTATCATTTACTTATTATGCTTCATTAAGTACTTATACAAAATTTTATTAAAATAAAACCATTTAAACTGGGTGTTCGGATTTATATGTCACTTAGTATATTTCTTCCGATACGCAGACAACTGACGCTCCGTTGGCCAGGCGAGTCATCACAAACGGTTACCATTACTGATTACTGATGAAGGGTGAGTAGTCTAATCAATTTAGCTAATAATGGCGTCAAGTACGAAGACTTGGCACTGAATAATGCAAAGCATTTTCTGAAAAGCATAATAAGGCATTTACTAAACTAATGTTCCGGTATGCAAAGTTAATTTGTAGCAGCTTAAGCGTTTGTTTAATTACTATTAAAATGGAACTCATTTAGAAATCGTAGAAGTCACCTTGAAATTATATAAATACTAATTTATTCATTTTCAGAGAGAAAATGTGCAATCCGTCTTCATGGTCTGGCAGCACGTAAAGAAATCGACAATTATTCTTGGACCTGAAGAATATCGACTCTCATACGAATATATGACAAGGAATAATTCTAAAAAAGTAAGAGAGTTTTTCTCACAAATGATTGGTGTTAGAATATGTCTAAGCTTCTAGCCTGCTTATGCAACTAGCGGCGGGTAATATGAAATATACCGGCTAATATGGAATACCATATACTTGGTTAAACTTATGCTGCACATCTACGAGGCGGTAGCAAAAATATGCTCGTCGTAGGTGCAGATTTATACCCAAACACGCGCATAACTCTGTAATCGTTCGTTAAATAGGTATTCGTCAACACCTGTTTTTCAGTGATACAGAATTTTTGTTGGGTGCCGTAGTTATTGCGGGTCTATACTCGTCTAGATGTCTTTAAAAACTCCTAACCTCAACACAACTAAGGGCGGCTAATATGGAATACTATTCCATATTACCCGCAAAAGTGCCATCTAAAAATTAATTTATTTTGTTTCAGAAGTCTTAGTCGAACACCAGGGTATCAATAATGCCTAAAACTACGGTCGGGGATAAAAAACGCAAAAAGTGGAATGAAGAGAATATGCGGAAAGCAGTGATAGCAGTCAGGTGCAAACAGATGGGTTACTTGAAGGCTTGTAAAACATACAATGTTCCTCGAGCTACACTTTTCAGGCTGTGCAAAAAGAACATGGAGCCTGAGGTCGTGTGCCGTACCAAACTAGGCCGTAAGCCCGTTTTACCGGATTTTTTGGAAAAATAATTAGTTAAGCACTGTCTGGAGATGGATAAATCGTTCTTTGGCTTGACGCGTCGCGATGTTTGTAATGTTGCTTTTCAATTAGCAAGAAAAAACAGTATTCCTCATCCATTTTCATCACTTAGAAAATCAGCTGGCAAAGATTGGCTTCATCACTTCAGAATGAGACATAAAAATGTTTTAAGTCTGAGAAGACCTACTGGAACTTCGTACGCTCGCGCTTAGGATTTAATAAAGAAAATGAAGACAATTTTTTCGACCTGTTAGAGACCCTAATGGAGACTCATAAATTATTCGGCAAGCCAAGTTTATAACGTGGATGAAACTGGTTTAACCATTGTCCAATCAAGAAATCCAGAAGTTTTTTCTCTAAGGGGCAAAAGGCAAGTTGGGACAATGACGTCAGCCGAACGAGGTTCACTTATAAGCTCAGTCCTTTGTATACGCGCTAGTGGCAATTTTGTTTTTGTACCCCCCCGCTTCTGATTTTTACCAAAAAAAATGCAAGTAAACTTCTAAAGAAGGGTGCCCCGCCAGGATACATTTATTCCTTTCATTCGTCAGGCTGGATTCAGATGGATATCTTCACACAATGGTTCAAACTTTTTCTAATACATGCTATACCGAGTGCAGAAAATCCCATTCTACTGATTCTAGATGGTCCCCATACTCACACTAAAAACGTAGACGTGATTTTAGCTGCCAGGGAAAACCATGTGACTTTACTTTGCCTACCGCCACATACAACTCGTAAGATGCAGCCATTGGATAAAACTGTTATGGGAGCATTAAAGACATATATTACAATGAGGAAGTACGGCTATTTTTAAGAACACATAATCGGCCTGTCAATCATTTTGATTTTAGTGAACTTTTTGGTAACGCGTATCTGAAAATCCAAAGTGGTGAAAGATGTGTTAACAGATTTCGCCAAACTGGATTGTTTTCAGTTAACCGGTAAGTATTCACCGAAGAAGACTTTATTCAAGAGGCACAAAGAAATGAAGTCCAAGTAAATTCAGAAGATTATGTGCTCCAGGAGAAACCCCAACCAGAAAACTTAGCTCAAAATGCCACCATAGTCTTACCACGGGATATAATTTCCAAGCCAACTTTGAGGAAGAAAGAGGGCACAAGAGGGCGGAAAGCAGGTCAAGCCAAAGTTTTGACGTCGACTCCAAATAAAGAAGAGTTGAAACAATCAATAGAAATATCGTCAGTTAAAGAAAGGGACAAAGTTAAAAAATCAAAAAAAGGTAAATCTTCATCGGAAGATTCATACAGTTCTGCATCTTTACTTGACTCCTCATTCAACGACGATGAAGAATTTCCTGTTTATGATCCTCCATCTAAGGAGACTGAGTGTTTGTTTTGTTCAGGGTTAGATTCGGCTGATACAAGGGGAGAAATCTGGATTCAGTGCGCAAGATGTGAACTTTGGGCTCATGACTTATGTGCTGATACGCCAAAGGATGTTTACATTTGTGATTTTTGTCGCTAAAATATACCTATAAGCAGATATTTTTTAGTTCATTTAGTATTTCATATTACGCTATAGTGGTATTCCATATTACCCGACCATTTTTTGTAATGTCAGAAGTACTTATTTTATTTAAATTTATTTTCTTTTAAATTCATAAAGTTTTTGAAATTACAGACTTTTATTGGCTTAGATGGATAGTTACCACAATATTTAATGACTTTTCTAATGCACTGTACTGCACCTAGAAGAATTTATGACTATAATAGAAAACAGTATTCCATATTAACCGTCGCTACTCTATACATATTTCACATATAGAGTTCCCTGCACATTTTCCCTCAAAATAGAATGAAATCTTTTCATTACCCGTACGGGGCTGATATTGTGTTTCGGCGGTATCCGATGAGTAAGCGCAAATATGATAAAAAACGAATTCGTCGCGTACTGGCTGCTGCTGAAGCTTAGTCATCACAAGTGTGATCACATAGCAATGTTGCCAAATGGGGACAAGGAACTAATTGTAAGGGCCTATTTGAATGATTTGATTCACTTTATTTCCTTGTTATGCATGATCGTTGTTAATTATTTTAAGTAGGGTAACTTGTGCAGAAAATAATCATTTAAGAACTGACAGTGTTGCGTGGGAAATACAAAGTCAACGTACCTAACTGCGAGCTATAACTGCGCACATAATGTTCTAGATAAAAGATAGCTATTATACAATTTTAATCAACACCTTTTACCATTGATTAATACATTTTACTAGCAGATATCCAATTAATTGAAAGCTGTGCTTACAACTACTTGTAGACCAATATCTTTAAGGGCCTACATTGCTATCTCTGGGACTATTTCCGCAGTCTATATGATTCCCTTTTCCGCTGTTGAGAGAATAGGGAATCTTAGGAATAATTTCCAGGGAGGTTGAATGGTAATAGTTGCTTAACATGTTGAGTTCATGTTTAAGGATTATTTTCTGTGTTTACATCGCTTTCTGCATTCTTACTTGGCAACATGGCTGTGGTAACGAAAACTGTATATGGCCGTCCAAATACAACATATGGCCCTTGAATAATACGTTAGCTGTGATTTTATTTCGGCATCCTTTGTTCATTTAGATAGATGAGGGATTTTGTGTGACGTACTGATATTAACATGAAATAACGATTACAAAGACAAGCTCACCTGTTGAAGTACGCAAGTAAATGAAACGCACTCGACATGTATTTCAACCCACCAAATCTCATATGTGGTAACACCGCAAAAGCGGTGAGCACATTGTCAACAAGCAGAGGTGCCCAACAGATTGCGAACAGTGCTACCACTACAACCAGCATGAAGATCACTTGCTGAACCACGTGCGTGTCGTGATGCTGGTTGGTAGATTTTCTGGTACTGCCCCATTCTCCACATGCGCTAGTAACTGTTGACTGCTTTTCATCCGTTGGTAGAGAGCGATAATTACGGGATAGCCTGTAAAGGATAACAATAATTACAGTTACCGAATGCACTACTATTCATCATTGTCTTCTAGAGAGCTCCGCTGAACATTTGCTTTTAGTTAAAAGTTTCGTCGATCTGTTAGCTCTAGTTACATAGGTACGAAATCAGTTCAATGAAAAAAGGAAATTGGAAGGAATAAGAATGAGCAAGAAAAACAAGTGGATTGTTTTGAAGTGTAAAGGCGTATGGTGTAAGAGCCGATAAGGAGAAAGGTTCTTCACTGCCAGGTATACTCGTTACCACCCGGGACGATAAAGGTGGTGCTACCCATATCGAAACATGCTCGGTTGGTAGACATACCTACTCCCCTTTCACGTTGCCCAGCGCGTTCTAGTTCGCCCCCGCGAAATCGCGGATCTTACCCCCATGTTAAAAGGGAAAAACAAGCAGAAACAAATGACCATCAAATTTTCTTGCAAACTTAGCTGGGTTGTCAGAAGGCTGGCGGCCAATTGCTTTTAAAAACAATATTTGAATGAAAGCCGGGACACAAAAACTATAGTATCTCTAAGGAAAAATGTTTTCCACTTGCAGATACACTGAGTACTCGGGCATCAATTGACTAAAGGGGTCGACATATGGGTCAATATGGACCCCCCCTCCCGAAAATATGTTCGCAACACTCGTCTGTTAGAAGCATTTTTTAGGGGTGGATGGTAACGACGGAGCTCCCCATGCTGAAGCATATCCTTTTCTAAACGACCACCGCGTTTTATTTCTTCCCCGCATAATGAGCAATAGTACTCAGATGTTTTTTTCAATTAAATTTATTTTCCCTATAGACATATCTTTACAGGAATTGTCAGTACAATAAATTCTAAGACATAAGGGAAAAACAAGCTAAACCAAAAATTAATAATATGTTGTTTTTGCTTGCTCCCCTTCCAGCATGTTGGCACAATTCCCCATATTGCGAGCGCATACTGAAACGCGGTGAGCAACGTGAGAATTGGAAATATCCACTCTCAAAGAAATCCGATACAACTGGAAGTTGTAAATCTTTATCCTGAAAGATCTTCTGGGGTTTTGTGTCACCGGCTCTATTACTCATATTTTCCATGTATTGGTACGACTCGGTATTATCACGTCAGTACTCCTACGCTATGTGTCGAGTGGGTGTTCATTTATAGCAAACAAATCTGTACCATAGCACTAAATATGTTGTGACACTCCAAATCGAGATCGCACAAAACTCAAAACGATTTTGGAATTTATCATCATATCCTCTTGAATCATCTTTGGCGATTTGATACAAGCCACTTGGTACTAGTGTAGGTATACGTACATTTGCATATTGTGGATGCCCATCATTGCCAAGTGTAAATAGTGGTTTAGTTATCTACCATGCCTTAGTCGAGCACACGTGCACCACGCGTCTCAAGTTTTTGCGTAATTATTATCAGATACTTGCAGGTAAACTTTTATTAATGTATACTTTCTTAAATAGCATCATGTTAGGTTCATTCTTCTCATGCAATTAGTTCATTTAGCTTTTTCTGGATTTTTCCTTGAGTAAGCGAGTGTTTGGATTTGTCATGCACACTGTCCCTCGCTATTTACCTAAATATGTTATGTAGTATTTTTTAAGTTCCGTTGATATCTCCTTCTACTGGGAAGAAACCACAGAAATTAGTAACAATGCTCTTCTAGAGTTTCGAAGCTATTGATGCCTTTTGGAATAAGAAGATGGGATGGACAAAGGCCGCGATAGAAGCAGATGTACGTCTGCAATTTTTGTCGTTGAAACGTTAAATAATATATTAATATAGTTTTTGTTCGTCCGACTACACATGGCCAACCATGGCTAGTTCGTGCATATAGCTATCTATCAACTGACTTATGATGCGCTAATTTTAAAATTGACTTTCATTTCTCTGTATCAGCTGTAGTTTTCAAAATATAAGCAATGCCATATTTGAAGAAGTGCTAAATAAGCAATCTTCGACCCCGAAAAACGATAGGAAAAAACAAAAATTTTCAATATTGTCACACTTCCTAAATATACTCCAAACTCCTATCAACCAAACCTCGAACCACTTAGGGGGTATTCTTATTATAAACCTTTGTTTTTTAATTACCTCTAATTGACTTATCATGAGAATAATTAATAATATTAAATGGTGAATGATCGTCCATATTTGTAAGAAGGTTGGTGGATGTGCAAAATTTAAGATATACGGTCATTCACCATTTTATAAAAATCATTGAGATGATAAATCAATTATAAGCAATTCAAAAACCAAGGTGCATACAATAACAAGCACCCTGGTCTTGGGCTTATCAATGACTGTGTGAAGAATGTTGTGGAACTTTGGCATCATTTAAATTTCCGTTTTCTCATACTTCTTTTCGGGGTCGAAAATGGCATATTTTGCACGTTTGATTAAATCGCTTGTATCTTGAAAACTATTGTGGCTATTAGTTCATCTTTGGTATCACTTATTCAAATCTGGGGTATGTGAATTTTTGAAGTTATTATCTTCTTATCCAAATTCTCAATTAAACTTAATGAAAGAGTAGAATAAACGAGTTATAATATCACAAAATATGTAGCATGCTTCTAAAATATACCTACATGGAAGCTCTACTATTTATAAATATTTTTAAAGCTTTTAGAGATATAATAGAATAGCTTCTCAGGAAGCAATTTTTATTTATGTACGGTTTTACGCGCTCCGCTTCACGCCTACGGTGACATATGACCAACCATAATATTATTTAATTAAGCTGCAATATCGCGACGGTCGTCAGTTTGAGCTGACAAATATTTTCATATAGGAATGTTTGCCTCTGACATTTCCGATAATGAAATGTGTAAGTAACGTTACGTTATCGTGTACAGATATTACAATAATAATTACCTACAGCTGTTATGAGCACCAACTATGAAAAGGGGAAGCAATTTATGGATGAGTAGTCTTGTGGTGTCGCTTTGACTTAGAGTGCCGATCTTCTGTCAGGGAATCTCCGAGAAAAAGCCAAACCCTTTTGAAAATGTACTCGGAAGGGCTTAGATCTATTGTAACTGCAAAAGCTAACGACAATTACAGTAGGCACTATCAAGGATGAAACTCTTTTAAATTTAATTTCCGAATTCTGAAATGCTTTCAATGGCCAATGTATTCAGCTAATTATTTGAAAACGGAATGCTTACACCTCCACTTCTACTATTAATGAAAAGTGTGAAGTCGGCTAAATAGGAGTTTATTAAGTGGATTTTTTCTGAATTAGGAAAAATAAAGTTATGGGCTGGAAAGTATTATTCACCATAACGCTGAAACATAGTTGTTTCTCCAAGTTTTTTCAAGCTGTTCAGTGAAACCACATATGCAGAATTAAGTATCTGCTGAAGTTTCTACCACCTAGTTATGGGTGTGTTTTTGAATTCTCCAGTCGTATGGCATTTTCGGGCGACGAGCGAGGCTGACCGTCTTTTGGCAGCCCAAATGCCTCCTCAATTCAACGGACGGACAGAGAAATGTAAACAACTAGCAGCATGAAAACGTGATAAGTTTCAGATGATACATAATTGTTTCTGAATACTACAACTTTTGCATGTGTTTAATTACCGGTATAAAAATGGTAGACGGACTCAAATAAATACACACGATTACATTCCAATTACTAGTAAGTTAATTCAATCACGAATACGGCATACATAAAAGTTGACGCTTAAGCTTATTTGACATTTATGTTATTGAGTGTGTCGAACCGGAAGAGGTATTACATAACTTTAAAAGTAACACTATGTCGGTTTTTTACATTATACAGGTTTCTTATGACATTATCTAAGGCTTCCAACAAGAAGTCATCTTGTATCTAGTGCATTCAGCTAAAGTAAAGCAATCCAGCGTTGCAACACTTTTATGCTGAACAACAGTAGCTGAGGAATAGATTTGAGAGTTCGTAACATTTGATGGTTGAAACTGCTGTCAAACTGACAAAGTTATCCCAGGACTCTGCATAAAAGTGCTGGAACGCTTTACATTAGCTAAGTGCACTCATTCATTTATGTCTAATTGATGTTAAATAAGTTTTACATTTACTGTATTATAGCACGATACTTACGGTTGCTCATTGGTTGTTAGCGTCTTCCCCATAACTTTCCAAATCTTTCGGCAGATAGTGACGTAAGAAAAAGTTATTATGCTGAAAGGACCCACTAACACCACGAACAACAGATACAACTCGTGAAACTTCCAAACTCTCCCATTATCCCAGTTTCTGACACAGTAGCGGTATTCTTTAGTTGGACCTACTGGTAGATGAATCTGAAAAGAAACCCATGCGTATGCTTTGAAACTCCAATAGTTGCAATCATGAGCAGATATATTCAAAAAAGTGTAGTTTTCTATATGTTTGATGTAATAAAAAAATGTTTAAAAAATTAGTTTTCAAATTGACGCATTATGAAAGATTGAACAATGAAACTGATTCAATTCAGAAAACAAAAAACAACGCGAGTGAGATCATACGTATGTATAGTTGAAGACTAATGCTAAAATATAAAAGCTACAGGAAGTACCGCTTTAGCGTTTTCCAAAGGCAAACAGAAATTATACGTATTGGAGATTTAAGAACGGAGGCATCCATATTAATCCTTGGGAACTACAAAGTTAATCTACTTGACTCGATTTTCTCATCGGGTATTTTCTACTGTAGGCGTGAAAAGCAAAAATCGAAGAGAACCCATAAAATTGCCAGCACTAATGCGAATAATTTCTTTCTGGAGAAAGTTACACCGCTCTCCATCATAGTAAGGTCACGCACTGTAGTATGTCAACCTAGTGGATGTACTTAGCTGTAGTTTGGAACTTCCTGTGATGAACATTTTAAGTGAATCTTCAGTCGGAACAACTAACAGAACTTCATCTGAGGTGAATTCAACTGTACGTAGTCGAGGTATAATTAATGAAGTTACTCTATAAAGTGTTTGTCGCAACAACTTCTGTTGTAATCACTTTGCAGTCGCTTCTTTCCTTAATTGTTAATTTGAGATAAGTCGCCATTATAAAGTTTCAAGCGAACATCTTGTGAAAGCTGGGATCAAAAATTGATTGAGGATAAATCACCATATCGTACATAATTGATATTGTTAACAGCCTGCATCCTATGACTGAAAATTAACCAACATTATGGCTTTGTGATAAACTTATCTATATTCATAAAAACATTATCATTTGCATTATGTATCATGCCAGGAGTAACTATGGAATGTAAAAGTATGTGCACAGTATGCTTGTTGACAAAGAGAATAGAACACCGAGTAAGTGATTTTATTTCGATGAAATATTGTAAACCGCTAGACCTAAACAAAATGAGGTCGTGATTAAATTTTCGAAATAAAAAATTTACGGTACAACTAGATCTTGCTGATAATGTGTCGTCGGACCATGCTCCTTATGAGGTGGTGTATGCTATCCAGGAGCATCTCATATCAAGCTTGCTGTATTTGATTCCGAAGAGCTACCAATATTGGTGACGGGTGATGTAAATAGGTTGCTCTTCACTTCCCGTCATAACCACGTGCACCATACTGTAGTAGATATGATTTGGGTAGCCATTAAATATGGCGATAAGTCAGTTTTAGTTTCAATTAGAAGAGGTATGACAGTGCCACCGTACATTCAGGAAATACTAGAACCTCATTTTTGCTACTCCTTTAAATGCTTGAAAATCTTATTTTCTAACAGGACTCTTTTGCTAAGGCTACAATAGACTAACTTAATAAAGCTTAAGTCACCCTCATTCCTTGGCCTTCTGGCCCCATTGAGTATATGTCGGATATGGTGAGAAGAGAAGTGACCTGTTCACCTCGTCCTCCACAAATGCTAATAGCTTTTCAAAACTAAGTAGAGCTAGCTAGCTTAGAATGAGGGCCTGAAGAAGACATCACCTGATCAGAAGCAGTCCCCGACAACTGGACAATTGTATATGGCAATGAGGTGGCCCACAATATTAAGGAAATTCAGCGATATGGCAAACGTTTTCAGTTCAAAATTAATTCCCTACTTCCTCTTGTTCATCAAATTGTATATTAAATTTCATTTGAATGAAGTCATTTTCATTGGCTGTTCTATTGTCTTTATCGTATATTTAGAGTATCCCAGTAGGTATACTGGTGAGTTATCTACTGTGCAGCGTTTTCTAAATTATACTGCAAAGCAGCTACATCGCACGATCTCGACTCCTGTTTTTAGACCACAGTCTTTCAAGGACAGCTCAGAACATGATTCCAGGAACCGTATTCACTAAATTATCTGTTATTCACTGTCTCTTGTTAGTGGTCGCAAATGCGCAATTGTATGCAGTAGAACATACCTACCTGTCCTTCAAGTGTTGGTATCGATAGAACTACTGACAATATCCAAATCACTATAACAATCTTCTTAGCTTGGCTCAGAGTGCAAGTATATTTTGCCTTCATTGGATACACAATAGCATAATATCTGAAAAGTATATGAAGGTGAAATATGCATATCTCGCATTTATTTGCTTCATGGTAACAAAACCCTGTTTTGGGTTCTACACATTTGGCTAATGACAGAATCAGGATGGTTCTGTAATAGTCCTCTATAGAACCCGGACAAGGCTGCGCTGCAATTCCAATTCATTTTATGTATAAATTAGTTTTGGTTTCATTTGGCTGGTGTTACATTCAGGTTATAGTTACCATCGCAGAAATGCTGGGCCAAGATGATATAAAGATCGATAGTATGCTTGCTACAGGAAAAGAAATCCTTTTTAATCAACCCAGATTGTAGAATTCTGGATGTGGGTCCAGGTTATACATCGAAAACATTTTTGAATCAAACTACTATAAACTCACCTTTCTAAGCTTATTGCTGTTAGCGTCAATACGGAGCAGATAGCAGACAAATTCTGCATGTAGTGAACTCCCTTGCAAATAAAAACACCCATTCGCCAAGTGTATGAAAACAGCTTCGCCACCTGCAATTACAGATTGACATACAAATGGTCCATCAGAAAACCGGACATCTGTAATGTTAACGCCCCGAGTATGTGTGCTATATTTTTATCTTGATTGGACTATCTAAGCTTAACATAATCTAATCAAGGAAATTCCAAGTTTTTAGTCGTCTTTTTCAATCTATTGGAATACTCATTTATTTATATTCTCAGAAAATGTACGTTTCCAGCATAACGTACTTCCAATTAAATCACAAGTCAGTCTACATCATTCTACGATAACCTTGCTCTAATATCAAATCAAAATGTAGGAACATTTGAGTAAATACATTTACTCTGAGAAATGCATGTATACTCTTTACAAAAAAATAAGCAAAACCTAACGCTATACAGATAAATATATTTCGTGATAGAGTGACTTAATAAAGTTTATAGACAACCTTCGGACGTGCAGCACCATATAAAATATTATAGTTGTACAAATGCCAAAAACATCGGCACATCAATCCTGATAAAGTTAAAGGAAAAGCACAGTTGATATTGATGTATAGAAGCTAATAACTGTCAAAGTATTTAGTTCAACTATCTCATTAATAATAAGACTTATGGAATAAAAAATTAAGTAGCCCCTCATGCTCTACTAGAGAATTGACGAGTGGATAAAGCGTTCAAACATGAAATTATAAAAAATGTGGGATGGGTGAAACTTTGAATATCACATCATGTCATTTTTGTTGCAACCACATCTAAAACCAAACCGTCAAGCTGCTAACCAAGCGCTCATAACAATAATTGAGGGTCCGAAATAATGCATCACAAGAACTGGTTGAGCATTTTTATATAGGGATAGATAGACAGACCGACAGACAGTCGGAAAGCAGTTCCATGGCTTTTCGTGATGGGCATGTCATGTTATACCCAAAAAACATCAATTATCAGTTTGAATCATCTTGTTGTGCAATGATAATTTGTATCATCATACTTATCTTGACAGGTATACAAAATACTATCAACAGAAGATCTGACATTGCTAGGCTGGATAGCAACACATTGGTTACGTTCTTCATTCTTCTGTATCTGAATGTAGCAATAATGATAAGCGAATTTCCTGTGAGTCCCAGGACGAAGGTAATGCCATAGATGATCAATGTAGGTGCAAGTTCGTACCAGTTGAAGATGGAATGTGGATCAACAGTGCTGTTGTTGTCGTAGTCGGTGCCCAGGTAGCTGTAGTAGCTGTTGTCTTCATTCATCTGAGATTTTCTAACCTTACCTGCAGAAATTATTCCCAAACATTATGCAAAAATTGAAGGGCAGATTGAAAATCAAGACAGTTCTGTACTTTAACCAATAGAAACCATTTCAGTTCGAAGTTACAGAACACGTGAACCTCCCAAAACTACGAGTACAAAACCAACAACAAAATTACCATTGCGTCATGTTTATCTAAGGCAATACAAAATTGTAAGCCTTGAAAAAATGGTTACCTTATAAGCGCAGGATACAGATGAAAATACAATAAATGGCTACCTCATTTTGACTATGCACGAATCTGTACGTTAGCAAGTCATTTGAATGGTTAGATCAGTTAGTGTATAATTACATTTAATGTTGTATACAATATTAACCGTAATTCTAGAAATTACGCAAAAAATATCGAAACTAACGTACATTTATGAACCTTAATGGTGGCGCACTAAGACAGCAAAAGAATCAAAATATCACAGAGATAATAAGGTGAAAAGGAAAAGAATGCATCAAAGTGCTGAATGGAAGCACCCCAAATCCGAAAAAAAGCCGTTTGGAAAAGTCCAAAATGAAGACAATCTTGATTTGTTTCTACGATTCAAGAGAACTTATTCATAAAGAATTCGTTCTACTGGGCCAAGCGGTTAATGCTGTGTTTTATCTTTTTGTTATGAGGCATTTGCTGCCACGTATTTGTCGTGTTTGGTCAGAATATCGCGAAGAAGCTGACACTTGTTGCACGACAATGCACCATCCCATCGATCGACGTGCCTGTGTCCGATTTTTTTACAAAAAAATGCATTTTAACTATCAACCACTCCCTCATATTCTCCTGATATGGCACCGTCCGACTATTTTCTGTTCTGAAAACTACATTTATCCTTGAAGGGACAGCGGTGGGCCGACGTAGAGGCAATCCAAAAGGCGTCGACGACCATTTTGGAGGACCTCGCGGTCAATGAGCTAAAACCATTAGTCCTTGCAAATCGCTGTATTAACTCTGAATGAGACTATTTTGAATAAAATAAATTCCATTTTCTGAAGCGAAAAATGTTTGTTCATTTTTTTTGTCCTGTTTACTTTGAGGCAGAATTATAATTTAAAAAAACTGCATTTTTCCCTTCACGGGAATCAGGGGCTTAAGAACCTTAACTTCGAAATGACTGATATCCACAATTTTTATGTCAAACGTAAGATTGTGTTTATTTTAGATAGGTAAGGTAATTTATATTCATCGGGTAGTGAAATGTCGTTATGGTCTGCCAAAACGTTTAAGCCAGGGTAATTCTTTATTAAGTCACATCCGCAAACTTGAGTAGGATTACCCATTAGACTTTAACAGAAACATTAGGACGGCATTGATCCTAGTTTGTTTTCTGAAGGACCACATGGAGTTATTAGTTCATACTTCTCTGGTATAAAATATGGATGACCAGAAAGACCGGATACCGTACCTGCACTTAATTGATTTAATAAAAGGTAAATGAAACATTGTACATATTTGGGAAATCTGACTCCCAAACTTATCCTATCATTTTCGCGTTCACAGAAGTCAATTGTCTAGCCGAGTCAAGCCACTTAATGTGTGTATTTTTATTTATGTGTCTCCCAAGTGACAGTCCAATTATTCTTCATTTCTATACAGGGTGTTGCGGCAATAGATCAACTGTCCTGTGGAAATCCTGTACAACTCGAGCAATTAGATGAATGTGTAAACTAAGTAGCAACATCTTACTAAATATTCTGCCTTTTAAGCAAGTCGATGTATTGGGTACAGTACCTTAATTTTTTAGGCAAAGTACATAGGTGTTATTTGAAGAACTACTCATTCAAACCAAAAGTACCAATCGCCATGTGCCAAAAAAGCAACTTGTGTCTCTAAGTAATACAAGTTCCACCCTGTACATGTGATAGAAATGCAACATTGTTGAATGGGTGCCTGTAGCGATGATAAATGGGAAGGTTACAAAATTTTAAACAGCCAGTATTGGAAAAAATGGGCTAATGGAAACTTTTTTGCTCTGCGTATTAAAATTCAGATCATGCGAGGTCTATAAATTAAGTGATGACACTGCCAACGTACTGTTTGATCTGGCGACACTGGCCCGGTTGTCATGTGATCTGTCTCCAGTACAAGTTTGAACTTGCTTGAGTCATTTGGTTGTCCGTAGCGATTTTTTTTTTGTGAACTAGTTGTTCCTACTGTGTTCTAAAAAATGAGTGAAGTCAATTTCGAGCAACGGTATGCTATCAGGTACTACTTCAGGCCTGGGCTCAGTGTTACGTAAATGCTTGCTAAACTTCAGCACGCCTACGAAGACAGTGTTTCGTCACGGGCCCAGGTTTTTTATGGTTTAAGGCATTTTCAGAAGAGAGAGAGTAGATTGAAGATGAACCCCGAAGCGGCAGGCCTTCATCTTCAAGAACCATTGAAAATATCGACAGAATCCGGGATCTTGTGGGTTCAGATTATCGGTTAACAATCAGATTGATCGGGGAAGAGTTAAATTTGACTCAAGCCGCCGCTTATAAGTTCAAGAACAACTGGATGTTGCATCACGATAATGCTCCTTGTCATAGAGCAATACCAATAAACGAGATTTTGGCCAGTAAAAACATTCATGTGGCTCCTCAACTTCCTTATTCGCCTGTCTTGAGTCCTTGTGACTTTTTCCTTTCCCTCAAATAAACTTTCAAACTGCTGTAACCGACCAGCTGAAGGCAATTTCAGTATCGGAGTTCCAGCACTGCTATGAGGAGTGGAAGAACCATCTTCAGCGATGTGCAGCTTTAAAAGAAAGTTATTTTGAGGATGACAATATAAAATTGTAATTACATTTCGATAATATATTAAAATAAGTCTCGACACTTGATTTACTGATCTCTTAGTATGAATTAAAGAAAATAGTTGAAAATCGTTTTCCATAAGCTTGCTGTGGGGTCTCTTCCGATTACAGTATTTTTATTGTCTATGTCATGCTGAGCAATTTTTTATCTCGATAAAGGTACACAGAATGCTGAAATAGTTATTATTTTGCCTAATTAATGAAGAAAAGCAAATGTACGTGTGATAGAAATACAATGCTGGTTAACCGGCTAAGAGGAATACTTAGTAGGCAAATGTCAAACAATTATCACGATTCTATCTATATATATTCTACCTGAAGATAACCATCAATTTTTGCGTTTAAAAAATTGTCCAAGACGAAATGAAATATCTTGGCGTCATCTATGAGAATTTATCACAGGTGCTTTTCTCCTCAACGCAATAACTCGAAATCTACTTTGAAAAGATTAGTGTCTAATAGATGGCGCTGTAATAGCTATACCGTTCAAATATAATTGAATAGTTGGCTACAGCGCAGAGAATAATCTTTTCAAAAAAGATGTATAATTACTGCGGAGAGGAAAAACAAACTCTCGTAGATCACAGCATGGTATCTAATTTGATCGAGCATAATTTTTTAGATGCTGGAATACAATATTAGGTTGGCTATCTTCAGGTAGAAGACGTTGATCACTAGCCCAACCCACAATAACTTAAAGCAAGTTACGGACTGCCTGACTTCGAGGCCCTGTATCTCCAAAATTACTCGAGGAAGAACCTTGGGCTTATGGACACTATTGTTCTATGTATTAATCTCTACAACATATTTAATTTTAAAACTACTTCACGTAAGGTGTCTGCGGGTGTTTTTCCAGAAACTGACCTCCAAAATTCCACGAATCGTATACGTGTTTGTTTATGAATTGGACTCAGTTTGTCGGAGCTATTTTCTTCTCTACACAAAGTGTTCACACAGTTAAGTACGACAGTAAATATCAAGGTTTCGTTAAGTGTTATAGAATGCTGGATATTTTGTACACTTTACTTTAGTAAACAATCATATCGCTTTTATGATCGAACATACATTACAGCTTCTCTTCAGGCAAACGACTTGTTTACAATTCGGCAATCTGATGCTCGGGAAACATCAAAAGATTGTTTTGCTGAATATTGATAACATATTTAAATAACTTATATGAGCTTTAAGGCCACTAGGATGTTATGAGCAAGTATATACCTGGGTTTGTCGGGAAAGTAATAGGAGTGAGTCGATTTAAAAAAATGTATTGAGCCAATCGTTACAATTCTTTAAAAACTTTCAAAATAGGCTCCTTCTGCGTCGATGCAGCGCTGCCAGCGCGATTTCCAAGCATTGAAGGCGTCACGGAAGGCATTCTCCGGAATAGCCTTGAGAACCGCGGTGCATGCTGCTTGGATCCCCTCTGTCGTCTCAGAATGCTTGCCTTTCATCGGCCTTTTCAGGCGAGGGAACAAAAAAAGGTCCAGGGGGCCACATCTGGGCTGAAGGGCGGCTGCGGAAGCGCTGGGATGCCGGCCTTGGTCAGGTAGCTCTTCATAAGAAAGGCGGTGTAAACCGGGGCGTTGTCGTAGTGCAACTTCCAGTCGTCTGCGATGTCTTGTCGGACCCGACTGACCCTTCGTTTGAGTCTCCTGAGCACTTCCACGTAAAACTTGGCGTTGACGGTTTGTCCAGGAGGAACAAATTTATGGTGGACGATGCCTTTGATGTCAAAAAAGACAATGAGCATCGTTTTCACTTTGGATTTGCTCATTCTTCCCTTTTTTGGGCGAGGAGACGCCGTCGTGTGCCACTCGCGGCAATTTCTGGTCGTCAGTGAGCACTTTGGGGACCATCTTTGCGCACACCTTGGGCATGTTCAAATGCTGTGTCACAATGTCATGAACCACAGATTTTGGTAAATTTAACATCTGGGCAATTAAACGAATACTTAGTCGACGGTCTTAGTTCAAAACTTTGCGCACACGAGTCACATTATCGGTGTTTGTCGAAGGTCTTCCAGCACGGTCTTCATCAGCGACCTCTTCCTGTCCCTCCAAAAAGGCCTAGTGCCACCAAAACACACCACTTCTTGCTAAAGCAACACCTGGGTAAGCCTGCTTGATCATATCAAACGTCTCTGTCGCAGATTTACCGAGTTTCACACAGAATTTAATCG